ACCAAGAGACTAAAGTCCATCAAAAACATCCAGAAAATTACCAAGTCCATGAAAATGGTAGCAGCAGCAAAATATGCCCAGGCTGAAAGGGAGCTGAAGCCTGCTGGCCCATATGGAATAGGATCTTTGGCTCTGTATGAGAAAGTTAATGTTAAGGTGCCTGAAGACAAGGAACACCTCCTTATTGGTGTGTCCTCAGATCAAGCACTTTGTGATGCTATTCATTCCTCAGTTGCTAAACAGATGAAAAGTGAAGTGGCTGTTCTCACTGCAGCCAATAAAGAAGTTATGCTCGCTGGAATTGGTGATAAAATCAGTGGCATACTTTATAGGACTCATTCTGACCAGTTTCTAGTGACATTCAATGAAGTGGGAAGGAAAGCCTCCTACTTTTGGAGATGAGTCTGTCATTGCCTTGAATTATTGAACTCTGAATATGAGTTTGATGAAGGCTCTATAATTTGTAATCGATTCAGGCCTGTTATCTCCTCTAAGACAGAAGAAAAGCCCATCTTTTCCCTTAATACCATTGCAAGTGCTGAAAATATGAGTATGATGATGTCGATGCTGATGTGCTGCAGAATTACCAAGAATGTAATCAGGCCAACACCATTTACTACCCTCTGAAGGATTCCACTACCAGTAAGCAGAGTGCCAGGATGACAGCTATGGACAACGCCAGCAAGAATGCTTCTGAGATGATTGACAAATTGACTCTGACATTCAACCACACCCACCAAGCTGTCATCACAAAAGAACTGTTTGAAATAATCTCTGGTGCTGTAGCTTGGGATTAATGGAAATCAAATTTCATCCTCAGATAAGAGTTGAAGAAAGAAAACTGAGCCAGCTAATTTTGGTTTTACCTTACTGCTGTCTTTGTTAGAAGAAATTGTAGGTCCTTTGTTTGAATTATTAAAGACAGTAAGATATTTGTAAATTATCTTACAATAAATAACTTACAATAAGAAAAATAAGATTTATTACATTCCATTTGTTGTTGTTATTAGCAGTAGTAGTATTTAATTTGCCCACACAGAGACAAAGAGAGAGAAAAGGAAAGTGAGAAGGTAAGCCACCAGGTCCGGCACTCAGACCACAATTGGTCATGTGGGAATCCAGCGCCTTTAACCACCCTGGCACCTGCTGACCCCGCTTGTTTTGTTTCAGGAAAGATTTTTGCTATAGGATATGTGCACTCACCAGAGAGACAGAGAGAGAGAGTGAGAAATCAAGCCTTGTGAGGAGATGGCCATGTCACAATCCCTTCTCCTCCATTCTCCTCTCAGGATTTTGGACACACACACACGCACCTGGCATGAGTTTTAAGCTACCAGGCCCAGGACTTGAACCACAGACAACTGCATTGGAGTCCAGTGACATAACCACTACACCATATGCTGGTCTCATTTGTTGTTTTTTTAATTTTCACTATAGAATGTGTGCATTTGCCAAGGAAGATGGAGTAGGGATGGGGAGAGAAAGAAAATAAAAACAGACTCCCAGGTAGTGCTAGCCATGCCACAATTCCTTCTCCATTCTCCTCTCAGGATTATGACCATGCACACACACATACCTGGCATGTTTATCAAGCCAAGAGGTCAGTGAGTCAAACCTCACACCTGGCCATGTGGGATCCAGCCACTTTAACCATACCACCAGGAGACGTATTTTCTATTTCCTTATCCACTTAGTTTCCTGCTTTCTATAATGAAAAATATTCTACTTTTTACTAAGGAAAGACAAAAGAGAATAACTGGTCAGTAAAGCCAAATAACACTTTCATATGTTCAACAAAATGACAACTTTACAAAGACCACTGGACAGATATTCAAATGCAATGAAACAGAAAGGAAATGGAAAGCTGAAGCTGAATGCTTTCCAATTCACGGTACTGGTCCAAGAGTAGAAGAGTAAAAGGAAAGTGGCTACAAAGAAAGATGAGAGGGCCAGCAGGTGGTATGGTGGTTAAAGGTACTGAACTCGCATATGGCCAACTATAGTTCAAGTCCCAAACCTGGTGGCTTTCTTTCTCACTTTCTTTCTCTCTCTCTCTCTCTCCCCCTCCCTCTCACTCTGCCCCTCTTTGATCAAATTAAAATAAATAGATAAATAAAGTTAAAAATTCTTCTAAAATTTTATTTTGAAAAACTAGTATCAGAAAAACAGATGAACAAAGGAAATTCACGAGTTTGACAGTGGGCATACTGCTGGGCCACTTTCTGATGCATGCTATTCCACAGGAAGAAAGCATGCTAAGAGGATGATGCTGGTGCTAGGAAAATCTCTATAACAAACTGAAGAACATAGGCTTTGTTACGAAGGATTTTGAATTTTCTGACTCTACCATTAATAGACAGAACAACCTCCTCATATCATACAGACCACCTGCAAGAAATCATTTAACTATTCTGTTTTTACATCTATTAAAAATAAAATTACAGGACCAGCAGTTAGCATAATGGCTATGTCACTGGACTCCCATGTAGTCAACCACAGTTCGAGTCCCAGACCTGGTGGCTTAAACTCAAACCAGGCATGTGTGCATGCGTGCCCAAGATCCTGAGAGGAGAATGGAGGAGAAGGGATTGTAGTGTGGCCCTCCCCCCAAGGGGTGATTTCTCTCTTTCTGTCTCTCTGTCTCTCTCTGTCGAGCCCACGAGTCCTATAGCAAAAACCTCTCCAAAAAAAGAAAGGAAAAAAAAAAAAATTACAGGGGCTGGCAAGTGGCGTGGTGGTTGGGGGGGGCACTGGACTCACACCTGGCCAACTGAAGAGTGAGTCCTGGATCTGGCAGCTTGCTTTCTCACTTTCCCTCTTTCTCAATCACTCTCTGCCCCTCTCTGGTCAAGTTAAAATAAATAAATATATAAATAAAGTTAAATAAAATAATCATTTTTTAAATGAAATTACATTTTTTAATTTAACTTTATTTTTTTATTATCTATTTTCATTTAAAAGTATAAACTCTGGACATTCTGGGTCTCTGAAAGAAAAGGCATTCCATTAGCACAATAGTAATACTAGTAACCCAGGGAAGAAAAATTTTAGCTTATCTAAGATCACTCCCTTAAAGAATAATCTTTCCCTTGCAGAAACCCTTATCGCATAGTTACAGAAAAGACAGCCGTGCATGTTTACAGCTGGGACTTTCCCTATGACATAACACTTTCTATGTTATTGAGCTGCTATAACATAGCATGGGGGGCAGGATGGGATCCGCCCATTGAAAAATAGTCATCTTGAGGCCAGCAGGTGGCCTGGTGGCTAAGGTGCTGGACACTCCCATATGGCTGACCATGGTTCAAGTCCTGGAGCTGGTGGCTTGCTTTCTCATTTTCCCTCTCTTTCTCTCTGTCTCTCTCTGGTCAAATTAAAATAAATGAATGAATAAATAAAAACTAAATAAATAATTTAAGAAAAATAGTCATTTTACAATTCTCTGTAACAGTCTACTTGAATTAGCACAACAGTATCTTTTTGTTTCCTGTTATGGTCAAGAATTATAGGTAGCTTGGGAACCAGCAGTTAGTGTAATGGCTATGTCGCTGGACTCCCACGTAGTCGACCGCAGTTCGTGTCCCGGACCCGGTGGCTTAAAACTCACGCCGGGCGCGTGTGCGTGCGTGCCCAAGATCCCAAGAGGAGAATGGAGGAGAAGGGATTGCGGCGTGACCGTCCCCCCTGGGGGGTGATTTCTCGCTTTCTGTCTCTATGTCTCTCTCTGTCTGTCTGGCAAGCGCACCCGCCATACAGTGAAAATCTCTCCAAAAAAAAAAAAAAAGAATTATAGGTAGCTTTAAGGATGAAAATGGAAGAACTTTTCCATTTACTTATTCCACTTGATTTCACTTTAGTAAGTCAAAACTTTTTCAACTGGATTTGCACCTTTAAACCCACTGCAACATAGTAACATCTATTTCATTTATCTTCTGAATTGAATTCTCTGTAATCAGTTTATTGAAACTACTACATAATTCAAAAACTTCCCTAAATCAATGTATTCATTCTTCATAGCACAATGTAATTTTTAAAAGTGCTAAAATAACTGGTAGCAACTAAAGAACATATTGGATTTCTATTAACATACTGGACACTTAGACCTAGTCAATGTTTAAAGATCTCTACCATTCTATGCTAACTTCACTTGGTTATAACCTATCTCCAGTAACCAAAAAGTCTTAAGAAAATTCACTTTTTTTTCTTAAGAGCATGATTTCAACACGGCCTCACTAATTGCAATCTTTAGTTATCCATCAGAAGGCAAAAGTCATAAGAAGCTATAAATCAAAACATAACCCAACTCTTGGGAACCAGCAGTTAGCGTAATGGCTATGTCGCTGGACTGCCACGTAGT